ACCAAGCAGTGACAGTAATAAAACATAATGTTCTGGAAGGCCAATTCCTATGGGAAGGCTCCAGGTTCATGTCCAGAGACATCCCTGAGTACGTCAGGTATGTCACGCCCAGGAGCTGCGCCAGCTGAAACTGGGGTGGATGACAGCATCAAGACCTTATTAGGGGTTCTCTCTCCCTGTCTCTCATGGAAGAAATAAACTTAATTTTTTTTTTTCATCTTTCCGTTTCTCAGTGTGAGCCTGCTCTTTCAGCACAATAACATCACCTACTCCTGAAGGAGCACTTTGCTCATTTATACTTCCTTTATATAATTCACACCAAAAAGGAAATGGCATCCCTGGGCTCCACCAGCTATGAGGGTCATGTCCTTTATCACTCTCAGCAAATCAGGGAGTTCTTTGATAAACATTTGCTGAATTGAGAGCAAATATTATCTTTTGAAATGATTAAAATTGACTGTGCTTCTTAGTCAGTATCCTGTCCCTTTACTGTGTTTATTAAGCCCTTTGCTTATTACCACCTTGCCGTATTTCCATAGAGGGGAAAAGGCCTCATACGTGAATGACACCAATGACAAGGAAAAAAATGTCTGCTCTGTGTAGCATTTATACTGAAGGATGGATTGGTTCTGCTTTTACAGTCTCCCCTTTGCTCTGGAATAAGGAGAAATCAAGATGCATGATTAAAGTGGATTTAGTGATTTTAGGACTCTCTCAAGGAAAGATGAACATTCTCTAGAGAGTAGAAGAATAGATCTTTTCCTGAGCCCAGTGCACTCACAGAGCAAATCTCAGAGCTCCAGGGTTACCAGAAACCTTAAAGATCTTCCTTCCTAATCACTACAAATAAGAGAAAGTTTTTATAGCTGAGTTATAATTAATTCAGTTCTTCTAGGAGGTAAAAAGTTCCTGGAGCTGTTATGCATCTACCTCACAGAGATCCCATAGCTTCAAAAATTGGGTAATTGTGGACATTTCTATTAAAATGATATAAATAATGAAATCAACCAGAGGGTAGCTCAGATCAGGAAAACACATGCGTGATCAGCTGGCTCTTGACCGAATTACTTTTTTAAGTTAACTTAATTTTTACAAGAAATGAAATGTTTTTGTCTTCTACATGTATTATGTTTGACATGCAATTTATTTTCCATAGTGAAGTAGCAGAGGAAATTTATTCACTCAGCAGTCAATAAATTTTTTTAAATTCTCTGAATACCAACATAAAACTAGAATGAGTTAGGACTGTAGTAATTAAAAAAAAAAGGAAAAAAGAAAGAGCATAGATTTTATGGTTAAACCACCCTGGATACTTGTGTTAATTCCTGTCTTCCTACTACGTAAGCTAGGGGGAATTACTTAGCCTCCAGGGTTTTAATTTTCTCATCTATAAAATGGTTGCATAACAATACCCACTTTATAGAGTTACTGTGAAGATTGAGATAATATATTTCAAATACCTAACATAGAAACATGTGAGGCATTCAACAAATGTTAATAATCATTTATCATCACATTGACAATAATTGGAAATATTTGAGAATTATTTATATTTACATTTTTCTTGTTATAAGTGTCTCCATAAGTGAAAAATATAAAAACAGTTAAACAGCATGAATATTAGCTCATTTTATTACATCTATTGGCTCAGTCTTTTCCTAGTAATCTGAAGACTTTAGGTAGCTTCCAGTTTGGGAAAAAAAAGAAGCCGATTTTGAAATTATCTTTGTGATTTGTGTGTGTGTGTGTGTGTGTGTGTGTGTGTGTGTGTGTGGCCAGAGGGCTCATGCACTCAACAGAGAGAGAGAGATACAGAGACAGAAAGAGGGAGAGGGAGGAAGCATCCCCTCATGGGGAGTGGTCACCCTGCAACCTCTTTCCCCCTCATTTTTCTATGATGTCAAGATTTGAGGCGTGATACACGCATGCCCAGCATGTTTCCCAAGCTGCCAGGTTCAGGACTTGAACTATACAGTCAGCCATGTGGGATTTGTCTCCCTTCACCACCAGACGACAGATCAGTCCCTATCTGTGAATTGAACTTTTTAAAGTTATTGCAAGAAATACAAGTTAATGAGGAAACTAAAGACTGTAGCCTGACCTAGAACATGAAATAATATACATTAAGATGACCATGTATTGCAAAAATGAGAAACAAAATTGGTATATAGCATCTCTAGAAAAGCAGCACTGGAAGAGTGAACTAGATTCTAATAAGCCAGAGGGTAGTGCCAAATCATCAAACTCTCTGAGTGGCCACTGTAATATGAATTCCGAGGGATTATAAACAGGTCTGGGGACATTTTTATTCTTAGAAAGCATTTTCTTTTCCTGTGAGCTCGTGGCTCTTCACAACCTTGAATTAAAGGTGATACATCGGTTTGGAGACCTATTTTTTTCCCACTGTCTGTATTTTCTTTTAAGAGATATTAATGCTTAAGAGAAAGGGAACTGCTTTGTTAGCCTGCCACAAAGTAGGTCAGCTCAAAGAAGGCAGAGAACAGCCTGAAGAAGGAGGGCGAACAGGGCTCTTTAGAAAGAGCAAAAAATATTAAAGGCTGACCCCACTGGCAGTTGTTCTTCCTTAGCATGGCTTTGTGGAAAATGAATGACAAAATGCTACACTGAAGGATAGTTAGGAAAGGCTCTTTCTCTTCTGAGTGAAGATCTGAGGGTTTCTATTCCCAATGGTTTGGATTGGGGGCAGCAATACTGAAATATTAACGGGCTTCAAGGGGATCAGCATCAGCAATGGCAGTAAGTGTGGCTGGACTGTTCCTGATTAGGTGCTAGCCAAAAGGGAGTTTCAGATTAGAGGTCTTCAGTAAACCCTGCCAACCCCTGATTTCTATCTTCTCTTACCAGAAGTATTACAATTTATTTTTGTTCCCTTTCAACACGACATGTTTTTCTTGCTACCAACACATGTGCTTCTCCTATTTAGTATTGTCACCTATTTGTCCACATAAATAAGTTCCTTTACCCATGACAAGAATCTTCTATTCCATGCCCAGACACAGAGCCCTGTTATGAATGAATGAATGAATGAACGAACAAACCTCAAATAGTTATTTTGTAGCTTGTGAAGGATCTGTGACTTCTCACTTTGGTCTGGCCCACATGCAAGGTGAAATTAAAATATGACAAAACAACCCTGGGAGACCGACAATAGAATAATGTAGACATGGCCTTGCATAGAAATTTCTCTCCAAGTAAAGACTGAGGAGCACTGAATTCTAAAAGATAAAAGTGAAGTATGGAACGTATAAAAGAAGGAAAGCCTAAATACAGATAGATGTCGGCATGTTTAAACCATTCCGCTTTTAAGTTGGAAGTTTAATCCCTCTAGTGAGCACTAGATAGATAGAGAATTTTAATGTGCTTTCACTTAACTGTGGGTTTATTCCACTGTGTTTTAATATTAATCCTCTGTGACGTGAACAGATGTCATTTGACTTCTTTGTCATTGTAAGATTAAATACCATGGTGGAGATTCATTCTGGGGACATGTGGGATTGACTGGTGAGCCAAAGAGCTAAGATTCTGCCTCAGTATAAAAACAGTCAACCAGAAAGTACCACAGAACCAACACTGGCTGACATTTTGAATATGCTGAACGGAAAAACGCAATTGTATTTATGAAGAGCTAGTGCTTTGAGAAGCTACAAAAATGACTAATGTTTGAGTAGAAATCACTTTCTTTTTTTTTGAGAGGTTTTTACTATTGGGCGTGTGAACTCGCCAGAAAGAACAGAGAGACAGAGAGACAGAAAGCAAGAAATCATCCCCCAGGGGGGATGGCCATGCCACAATCCCTTCTCCTCCATTCTCCTCTCAGGGTCTTGGACATAGACCCACATATGCCCGGCATGAGTTTAAGCCACCAGATCTGGGACTCAAACTTCAGTCGACTACATGGGAGTTCAGCGACATAACCATTACTCTAACTGCTGGTCCCAGAAATCACTTTCTATCCAAGTCATTAAGGGAAATATGGAGCTTCTAGGTTCATATTGAGTAAATCTAGTCACTGGTTTTATAAAGGCTCATTATCAAAACAAGTTTGCCATAAATACATACACTAAATAAATTTCCAGTTTCCCACTGTGGTCTTCCTTGAAATCACTCTGAAGAGTAGAACATTATCAGAGACTCACCTTTTGATATTCCTCATATCAAACATATTGAAAGAAAACTACAACCCATAGTAAATATACTTTTGAGTGCAAAGAAATAGGTTTAGTAATTACTATTCTTGATTTTGACTTTGTAACTCTTGTACTTTCTATCAATCTTTTTTTCTGTTAAACCTTTGAAATTCTCTAAGGCTCTAGGCTAGGGAATAAACCATAATGCTGGGGTGGATAAATTAGCCTCTCTGAATAGAATGCCTTGAACTTTCTGAAGAATCTCTTTTGTTCCCTTCACTGAAAAGTTATAGTTCAAGGTCCACAATCTATAAAAACAAAAGTTTCTCAGGACCCACAAAGTAAGTGTCCTAACCATAAGTTTCCATCATACAAGGAGATTCTGGAACAAGGTACTGCTTGATGAAACCAAACATAATTATATTGGTATTATGAGACTTAAAAAATAAAACCTTATTTTGATTAATACAATTTTCTTAGCCAGTTATAGAATACTAAAGCAGATTGGCCCAGCTGCAGTGGCATAAGAAGTAGGATGCCACTTTAAAATACTGGAGCCAAATGGGAGAACCAGGTTTGGATTCCTGGTCAACCCAAACATGCTGGACATGCTCATGTGCACCTGTGATCCTGGAGATCAGAGGGAGAATCATGGCATGGTGAGACCTTGTCAAGGATAGCCACCGCTTCCTCCCTCTCTCTTTCTCTTTTTTTGTCCTCTATCATGAAAAAATAAACTTTAGAGAAGACCTAATGTGCTTCAAAGAGCATTAGGATCTGCAGAAGAGCACAAAATCTGTGCCCAGTTGTTTGGATGAATTATAAGCACAGTCATTTCTTCTTTTTGCACAGCCTCCATAGTGATTGGAAAATGGTGGTGTGAGATGGAGCCTTGTCTAGAGGGAGAAGAATGTAAGACTCTCCCTGACAATTCTGGATGGATGTGTGCTACAGGCAACAAAATTAAGACCACAAGAGTAAGTTCCCTCATCTCAAATGTCTTGTGCATGTTACAAACTGTAATATTTGCCTTCTTGTTGTGCAAACAGCATGCTGAGTATCTATGAACGGGAGAAAAGGAAGCCATTTTCCTGACAGAAAATCATCCTTACGATACTGATCAGTGTCCATCCATGAATAAGGAGGTAGAGATTAAGCATCTTTTCCACGCTGAGCAGTTCAGCGTTTCTGTTACTGACTCAAGAGTAAAGCTGGGTTGCTCCCACTGGAGGCAGGAGGAGCAATGAGATAATTTCTCGGATAATTTATCCAGCATCTATGGTACTCAGAATGATAATCAAATAAGGGTCTTGCTTCATTCATCCAGAGGGCTTGGTGAAGAGATCTGTATTGAAGTAGAGCCATTTTCTAAAGTTTAAAGGAATTCTTTGATGATCATTTAGGGAACTGAAAAGTTTTTTTTGTGAAGTGAATAATGGCTCCTTGATTTCCCTGGTTTAATCAGAAGTGATCTTCAAAATAAAAAACAACCTGTAAGATGAGTCTATCTAACCCATCAGAATTGGTGTCATGAGGTTATGTAGGATGGAGAGACCCAGCTAGGCAGCTTTTCTTTGACACACTAGGAGTCCTAACGAGGATAGAAATGGGTGGACACTCAGGTTTGGATTCTTGGTATTAACAAAAATTGTTAATACTACTTTTTTTATGAGCTATGTTACTTTCTTTCATTTGGTCTCCGTGGAGTAAATTTTAATGCTATCAAGCATATTGTAAATGCACCCTAGATGGTTTGCAGCATCAAGGGGTATTGTGCAGAATCTGGTCACAGTAAGAGAGACTAGAGCATAAGACAGTAACTATTTATCCACTAGTCCAACTTTTCAGTACTTTAACAACCAGTATGGTTATATTTGTGTACCAGCCCTGTAAAATGTGAGTGTGTGTGTGTGGGGGGGGAGGGGTGTTAATTTATTGGACCTTTTCTAAAGCAAGTTCGACCAATTACAAATCAGTATGGCGAACTTCTGACAAAGTGATTCAAATTTTAAAAATTAACTGTGGTTTTAACCCTTGATTATGAGTCTTACCTGGATATTTCCTTTCAGAATCATCTTTTCAATAAATGAAATTGGTTCTTGTAGCTTTGTGATGCAGAAATAAAAATAATGCTACATAAAACATTCATTATTTTTCACATGTAAAATGACTGGAGACACTTTGAATGTCAAATTTAGTTGCTTGTACTAGTAAAATCAACCAGTAAAAGGCCATATTTTCTATCCTACACCTGGAATGATCCTTAAACACCCTATTTAATTAATATATATCTGTCTGTACCCAAGTAGGTCAGTGTGGATAACTGTAATTAATTTCAGTAAAATGCCTACAAAAGATAGTATTCAGAAATTAGCCTAGTTTGTACCACTTACCCACAGAAACAATTTCAGTTATCCAGTAAAGGGTGGATATTGGGTTTGTCTTTGGTTACATTTTGCTTGAAAATAATTTTATCAAGTAATCTGAAGTTGTCCTCATAAATTAGTTTGTTTTAAGCTTCTCAGACTTATGGCTAGTATATCAGAATCCAGTTATCTTTGTTTTAAACCTGTTGCTGCTTGGGGGCCAGCAGGTGGCATGGTGGTTAAGGCACTGGGCTCCCATGTGGTCAACCACAATTCAAGTCCCAGATCCAGCAGCTTGAAATTCATACCAGGCACATTTATGACCAAAATCCCTAGAGTAGACTGGAGGAGAAGGAATTGTGGCATGACCATCCCCCCCCGGGGGGTGATTTCTCACTTTCTGTCTCTTCGTCTCTCCAGCAAGTATACATGCCCTATAGAAAATAAATAAATAAATAACTCTCAAAAAAAAAATACCTGTTGCTACTCAATTTTCTGCCAAATCTCTATTCCTTACTTATTCCAAATAATAACTGCACACCCTTTATTGAAGTCCTTTGCTTATGCTGTCTGTAGACCTAAAACTCAGTAAATAAAAGTAATGCATATAGTTTCAGGATTTAAAAATATGAAATTTCACAAGTACCAACCAGGAGACTCTTTGGTAGAGAAAATGAGAACTCAAAAAAACTAACAAAAAAAATCGAAAATCATTAAAACTGCTTTTTTGTGAGCTATGTTACTTTCTTTCATGTGGCCCTCAGTGGAGTAAATTTCAATGTCATCAAGCATATTGTAAATGTACCCTAGATGGTTTGCAGCATCAAGGGGTATTGTGCATAACCTGATCACAGTAAGAGAGACAAGAGCACAGTATTGCTACAGCCCTGGATAGGCTGAGTTCCACCCAGACAGTTGAGTGGATGAGAGCAATAACTCACCCTTGCAGTTGGTTTGAAAGGAGAGGGCCCACCTATCCTGACATGTAGAGACTGCTCTACAGTCCTGTGGGCTGCATATCTGTCAACTAAGAATTCACAGGTCTGTCTCTGAGAAGGAAAAGAAGACACCACCAAAAAAAAACATTATTTTGCAAACCTTGAAAGAACTCAAATACAGACAGACATTTTCCTTGTCCCTCCAGCTACCCCAGAAACTCTATAATAAAACAAACACTTTTAAACACAAAAGGCACAAGTGAAGTCCAGATGATGCATATAGGAACCATCTATTCCATCTAAGTAGTGTGTCAACACCAATCCTTAAACCATCTGTTCTGAAAATGGGTTTATGTTAATTTTTCTAGTATGCCCTACATTATTTTCCCCCTCAAAGCTCAAACATGCCACACATTTCAAATGCTAATTCTAGCAATTTTACTTTTACAGAAGCCTAATTCACAGATGTGCTTTAATTATGAGTCCTGGGTTTTCATTGTTCTAGAGATAAGCAAAATAAATAAACTCACCCCCTTCGTTCTTAGGTGTAAGTTTGAGTCCAAGACAGCACTCTCTGGCAAGCAGACAGCATGGAGGTTTAGGCAGCCAGATCCTGCATGGTCACATGCTCATGTTGAGTCCCAAACCAGTAGTGTGGGAAACATGCCAGGCACATGTGCATACATACCCAAAAATCCCAAGAGGAGGATGAAGGAGAAGGGTATGGCCATCCCCCTGGGGAGTGCCTTCTTGCTTTCACTCTCCCTCCTCCTCTCTCTGTCTCCAATAAGCACATATACCCTAAAGCAAAAATTTAAAAAAAAAAAATTTTTTTTAATTAAAAAAAAAAAAAAGAGCACTCTCAGAAAAACAAGAGAGAATGGGGCCAACAGGTGTCATGGTAGTTGAGGCACTGGACTCCTATGAGGCAGACTGCAGTTTGAGTCCCAGACCCAGAGGCTTGAAACTCAGACAGGTCACATGCGTATGAGTGCCCAAATTCCCAAAAGGAGACTGGAGAAGGTACTGCAGTATGGCCATCCCCACCCCCCCGGGGAGTGAGTTCTCCTTTTATATCTCTCTGTTTCTCCAGCAAGTGCATGTGCCCTAAAGCAAAAAAACAAAAACAAACAAACAAAAAAAAAAACCTCTCTCCATAAAAAAAGAGAGATAATAAAAAACTGAAGAAACACACCCAGAATGTTAATGACAATTGAGTTTCCTCATACTGTTATTTTAAAAGTAACTCTAATATCAAGAATTGTAAGAAAGCTTCCCGAGATTTCATACTGTTTCCCTA